AACGAAGGAGAGACAGAGAGAGTACCCCAGAAAAGTCATCACTGCCTGATGTTATAATGGAAGGGGACTTCCCTTCTAAACACTAACACCTCTCCTCCTCTTCACCATCTTATATACGCCAACAAGAATCCTCATTCAAGGTAAGATATACATACTGCATTGTAGTGTTATTTGGTATAAAATGCATTTACAGGCATGATATTTTTTTTTTGGGGGGGGGGGTGTGGAATGGATTAATTCAATTTACATTATTTCTTATTGGAAAATGCGTTTCGACTGAAGAATTTTTGACTTATGACCCGTCTCTGGGAACAGACTAAATTCTTAAGTCAAGGCCCCACTGTATATACACACATTATATATAACTATCTACATTTTTGAACACCCTAAGGAACCACTAAGCTGACCTGTTGAGAGTTTAAAATCAACCATGATCCAAGGTCAGCCTAGCACTTTTGAGATTCTGTGACAAATTCTCGCTCAATCAACAGATTACAGAACCAACTAGGAACGAAAACACACTAGACTTGTTATTCACAAACAATGGTGAACTAATCAGAGACATTACAATCTCAGATACTACATACTCAGACCATAAGCTCATTGAAGTGCGAACTAGCATAAATAATGGTAGTAGGTCTAAGAGACCTAACAAGCGAGAAGGAGTATTCACTCAATTCAATTTTAACAATAAGAGGATCGACTGGGAAAAAATTAATGTAGACTATGCAAACATTCAATGGGAGACGGTCTTAAGTGACAAAGCTCCCACACGGGGAATAGCTCAACTGACAGCTGAAGCATACCAAGTCTGCTTGAAGCACGTGCCTGTGAGGAGGGGCAGAAAGAGGACCACTCTAGAAAGAGAATGCAGACGACTGTACAGGAGAAGAAAAAAAATAACAAATGCTTAGGCAGACACAACTATCACATGAAAGGAAAATAAACCTAAACAAGGAGATCGAAGAAATAGAACAAACGTTGAAGCGATCATATGAGTCTGAGGAAATGGAATTGGAACAGAAAACTATACATGAGATAAAGAAAAATCCAAAATATTTTTCACATACGTAAAATCAAAATCAAAAACCTCGACCAGTATTGGACCATTAATTACAACTAAAGGTATGTACACAGAGGACAACAAAGAAAGTAGTGAAATTCTAAGAAGTATGAGGCTATGTTTAGCACACCAATAAACAACATGAAAGTTGATGACCCAGACAGCTTCTTTATGAATGACATTCAAGCTGCAGATAATATAATGGATATTAACACGAACTCGGAAGACTTTGAAAGAGAAATTGACAATATGCCCATGCACTCAGCTCCTGGGCCTGACTCACGGAATTCAATATTCATAAAGAAATGTAAAATACCAGTAGCACGAGCACTCAACGTAATATGGAGAATGCAGCCTGGATACAGGAGAGATACCAGCTGCACTTAAATCTGCAGATATAGCTCCTCTGGACAAAGGTGGTAGTAAAGCCTTGGCAAAAAATTATAACCAGTTGCACAAACACCACACATAATAAAGTTTTTGAAAGAGTGATTAGGAATCAAATTTGTTCATCAAATTTCTAGTTTTATGGAAAATACTGTAATGACCTACATAACCCAGGACAACATGGATTTAGAGCGGGCAGATCCTGTCTGTCACAGTTACTCAACTACTATGACAAAATCCTAGACGCTCTATAAGAAAAGCAAAATGCAGATGTTGTATACACAGACTTTGCAAAGGCATTCGACAAATGTGACCATGGAGTGATAGCTCACAAAATGAGGTCAATGGGAATAACTGGTAAGGTAGGATGCTGGATAATAAATTTCCTGTCGAACAGAACACAAAGGGTAACAATCAATCAAATAAAATCATAAAAACACAATCAAATCTGCCCATAGTAGGAAAGCAGCATGTCAAGGATTTAGGAATAATGATGTCTGACGACCTAACGTTTAGGGAGCATAACCAAGCAAATATTGCGTCAGCCAGAAAAATGATCGGATGGATTACGAGAACTTTCAAATCCAGGGATCCCATCACAATAATTGCACTCTTCAAGTCACTTGTGTTGTCCCATCTTGAGTACTACTCAGTACTCACTTACCCCTTCAGAACAGGAGAGACTGCTGAAATAGAGGGAATACAGAGAACATATACAGCACACACAGACGCAATAAAGAACCTAAATTATTGGGATCGTCTCAAAGCTCTCCAAATGTACTCACTAGACAGGAGACAAGAGAGGTACCAAATAATATACACATGGAAAATATCGGAGGGCCAGGTCCCTAATCTACACAGTAAAATAACAATGTATTGGAGTGAACGATATGGAAGAAAATGAAGAATAGAACCAGTGAAGAGCAGGAGTGCCATAGGCACAATCAGAGAACACAGTATAAACATCAGAGGTCCGCGGTAGTTAAATGTCCTACCAACGACTTTAAGAAATATTGCCGGAACAACCGTGGACATCTTCAAGAGAAAATTAGACTGTTTTCTAAAAGAAGTCCTGGGCCAACCAGGCTGTGGTGGGTATGTGGGACTGCGGGTCGCTCCAAGCAACAGCCTGGTGGACCAAACTCTCACAAGTCAAGCCTGGCCTCGGACCGGGCTTGGGGAGTAGAACAACTCCCAAAACCCCATCAAGCAGGTATCAAGCAGGTAAGTAGGAGGTCTGGTCGACATCCGGGCCGCGGAGTCGCCGAGCCCCGAAATCATCTCAAGGTAACCTTAAGGTTACCCACCCTGGTGGCTCAGTGTGGTGGGGGCTCCCACAAATACACTTTTACATAATTATTTCAATATCTTTGAATGGTTTTTATCAAGTTTTTTGCAGTAATATTAGTCAGAAAAGTGTAATTTTTGGAATTTATAGTCAAATGTGTGGAACATTGCTATGCTATACATATGTTACTTATATTTAGTGATATATATACAGTGGTACCTCGGAATGCGAGTGTCCCTGTATGCGAGTTTTTCGGAAGACGAGCAGGATTTACTCCAAAAATATGTCTCGGAAGGCGAGGGTTACCTCGGGACGCGAGTTTGTTGATACGTGTACAGGCCGACTGGCGCGTGGTGGCATGGCGATCGCGCCTCAGTTTACCAGTGTCTCGTGTCCAGTGACTATCCCACCTGAATTCTTCACAAGGATTTACAGTTTTTTATCGGTTTTTTGGCCATTTGAGCATAAAAGTTGTCATTATATATCTTGCCATGGGTCTCAAGAAAGCCATTGATAAGGTTCAACCTAAAAAAATAGCTGTGAGTAGAGGCAGTAGAGGATGTCCCTTCTTGATTAAGAAAATGTGTGAAGTATGGGAAGAACTGCAAAGTTTTGTTGAAAAAACTCACCCAGATAAAGCTGTAGCAGGCCGTTGCATTGACCTTTTAAATGATAATGTGATGTCTTACTACAGACAAGTGTTAAAATGTAGGGAAAAACAAGTGTCATTAGACAAATTCTTAGTAAAACAAGCAAGTCCTAGTGGTATGCAGGCAAAATGTGCCAGAGTGTGCATACCAGTGAAGTCCTCACTGCCTGATGTGATAATGGAAGGGGACTCCCCTTCCAAACAGTAACTCCTCTCTTCCTCCCACCTCCTCACCATCTTCCATACGCCTACAGCATTCAACAGCAAGGTAAGTAATAACTTGAACATAGTTTTGTAGGTTTATTTAGATGAATTAGGTATAAAAATTTAGTTTGATGTGGGGTTTTTGGGGTAGTCAGGAACGGATTAATTCATTTCCCTTTATTTCTTATGGGGAAATTAGCTTCGGAATGCGAGTTTTCGGAATACGAGGCGTCTCCAGGAACCAATTAAACTCTTAAACTGAGGTATGCCTGTATATATGTCTACATTTCTTACTTGCTATGGGCATCACTAGCAGGCTGAAGGGTCATTCATCCAAAAGTGGAAGAAATGGAATGCAAGGCGTGTGCGGCCTATGCACAGCAGTGTAAGACAATTATCAAGAATTCAGATACGGTGATGGGTCCAAAGGCTAGGGGATGCATCAAAACAAGCATTTCCTATCCTTGAGTTGAGGGAGTGGGCCTAATACAGTCTGCCAAAGAACAGAACAGGATCTCCTGAGAAATGACAGCCTTTCATGTGGGTCTAGACTCATAGAAGCCTAGAGGGAGGGTTTTGATGTTGTAGGGTCAGGATTAGCTACAGTGCAGAGCTATATGCACCCCGACACTCCCATGAGCCCCCCAAAAAATCTGAAGTCTTGAAGCTAAACTGTACACCACCAGACATTGGAAAAACTACAGCAGATATATATACCACATGGCAGGCCCTCAAGTGACACAAAGACATCCCCTGGGGAGGTGAGAGCCAGTACCCACCCCACACAGAGGACCAACTAGAAGACAGCCTATCAACACCCAGTGACCCCAGACAATAAAGTGTCAAGTATCCAGTGGGTAGCCGAATAAGTCGAAGGCAAACAGCGAAAGCATGAAGGCCCCTAGTGACCCCAGTCTTCCAGTGACCTCCCCAGCAGAACAGTAGCCAGCTGCCCACCACCCCCCGTAGGCACACAGGACTCCACCAGGATCCACCAATTCCCAGCACCTTCTGGCCAAGCCTGCGTCGGGCACCAACCAGCAAACCCAGAAGCCAGAAAAACGGAAAAAAGGGCGTCAAAAGCAGGCTGTTGAAGAGGAATGACATACGGCAGTATCGTGACCCACAGAGCAATAATGTCGTTCCATTAACCTGCGGCCCCTGGGCGGAACAGGTGTCCAGACGTCCACCCGTCGTCAAGGTTGAACCAGGAGTAGCAGTAGGTCATAAAAAGGACACACAAGGATTTTGAGAAATATTAGTGTGTGCTTTGACAAGATCGGAGAGATGGAGTCACTACAATAAAATGCTGGACAACTGATAAGGCTTAGCCCAGGAGCTAAAACTCAATCCTACAACCTATGTTAGACACGTAGATAAACCATTAGGAAATACGCATTGAATTATACCTCTAAACCCCAGCACGCTGCTCCTCGCCTCCACAGACATATTGTTTACACTCCGCCTCACATTCAATGGTCCTGCAAAGTTTTAATTTATTACTCCGCTAGCACGCCACACTAATATCAATGTTTTGAATTTACACAGTTAAAGATATTTATGAAATCGCTGAAAATTTATGTCAAGAACATTCAAGTGCGATATGAGACGTGTTTATGCATTTATGAACGCGTCTTGTGCTAACTTCGGTCGGAGGAGGGAAACAGAAGCTAAATATTTATTATGGTCGCTTCCCAGCCCTCGATCGTCGTCGCCCCTCACACATCAACAACAATACTTATTAATACAATTATTATTATTAAATATTGTAGAATGCAATATTTATAGACGAATGCTGTATTCTTGCAAGTTAACCGAAAGAGAGGAGCAAGCATACATAAAGTTAATACAATTACTAATACAATTAATCTAAGAATAAACAATAGTACAGTTGATGGAAAATTCCTTGGTGTCCTCATCGATAACAAGCTGAATTCCAGGGACACATTCTAAATATAGCACAAAAAGTTTCTAAAACTGTTGGCATTCTTTCTAAGATCAGATATTATGTACCTCGCCCAGGCCTGGTGACGCTCTATTATTCTCTCATCTATCCTTATCTCAACTATGGTATTTGTGCTTGGGGATCTACTACCCAAAATCATTTACGTTCTCTAATTACTCAACACAAAGCTGCTATTAGGACAATATCTAACTCTGGCCCCAGACATCACTCGGTACCCTTACTCAAATCTCTGAATATATTAGATATTAAGTCACTGCACATCCTCTCATGTGTACTCTATATATTTAAAACTCTGAACTGTAATGTCAATCTTAACCTTAAATGCTTCCTAGAAGGTTGTAACAGAACCCATGGGCACGACACCAGAAACAAATACCTATTTGATATCCAGGAGTGCTCCTTAACCAAACTAGAAATGCTCTACAAATCAAGGGACCCAGAATGTGGAATGACCTTCCCAATCATGTCAAAAACTGTACCTCTCTTATCCACTTTAAGATAAAAACTAAATACTACCTAATAAACTCCATGTAACCTTCCTTACCCCTAAATGTCAACCCATGTCTTACTTTTTTAAACAATGCAGTATGTTCACCAACTTATAAAATTGCTATTTTCTGCCATGTTCCCCCCTTTTTTTATTTTGTATTTTTTCAACACAATTTATACATTAAGCTCAATAAGCTCAATTACTATTAAGTTTTAGTCTAAGTGTTCCCCAAACTCACCTTGCCCAAAACGCTATGCGTACCAGTGACTTTAGGTATTGCATGTACTAGCTCTATCTTTAAATTCCAACATTATGTTTGTAACTCCTCTTCAATGTATGTACCTTACCTGAATAAAAAAATCTAAATCTAAATCTAAATGTGAATTGAATATTTTAGTGCGGTATCCTCGCGGTGACTAGGTCGTATCCCCTCCTCGGGCGACGTCAACAACAACAATAAGGGGGTAAATGTCTTTAGGAAGACGCCTGACTCCAAAAAACAACACTCAAGACGTCTTCGTTAACATTGACGCTGTCTCCCATCAATACCATTCGAGCAATTAAAAGGAGGAGAAAATCTTCACTTCACATACCAAAGAAATATCTGCAGGGAGACGCAATAAGACAACTAGACATCTAAAGGAGATAATCCTTATGCATACTGCACGGATTAAGTGGGGAGGTGCATAAAGGAGCGTATTATAAATAAAAGATCTGCAGAGGAGGTGGCTGGAGATGGTGGCGGCGTGGGTCCGTGTGGGGGTCGTGGGCGTGTTCTTGAGCTACGTGGCGTGGGTGGCGAAGCCCGGCTCCTCTCTCTTCTCCTGGCACCCAGTCTGTATGACCCTCGCTGTAAGGAACTAGTGTGTCATTCTTCTTATTAAATATGAGATTTCTCGCGTCGGTGAATTTTATCAGCCAAGTAATATAATGAGACTGGAGCAGCATCTCTTGTATCTGGAGCTGTATATGGAGAGGGGGTCCCGGTAGGACAGTCGGGATCGTTCTCAACTCATTTGAGAAATCTGGGTTTAAAACCCGGGCAGGACAAAAATGGTTGGGCACATTTCCTATCACTTAATGTACCTGTTCACTTAGTACTAAGTATGTACTCAGGAGTTAGTCAGCTTGTTGTGGGGTTGCATCTTGGATGGGCTCAGTAATTTAACCTTGGGGTAAGGGGAGGGGGGGGGAGCCCTTGATATAAACCTGACGTGTATGATACACTCTGGCTGCCTCGCCCCCAACATCACAAGTCAAGCCTGGCCTCAGGCCAGGCTCGGGGAGTAGAAGACCTCCCAGAACCCTCTCCAGGTATGCTCTAGGCACAATCAATTATTATATTAACTTGTATTTGAGCCCTAGGAAAGGAAGAATGACTAGGCACAAACCATTTTATGCTTGCCCATTCGTCCAGTAATAATTAGGCTTTGTGACATTGTGCAATAGGCACTGTGAGACAGGAGAGTGCTAAGCCTACTAATCAGTCTGTATAATCTTGTACAGGTCTATGTAAAAACAAGAGACAGTTTGATGACTCCCAGTGATGGCAGTGCATTGTACAGTATGCATATAATTTAGTCCACTGTTCAAGACATTTTATGTTTTTTATACTGGCATGAATACAAAAAGTTATTTTCATTTGTTTATAATTTTCACTGTTACTGTAAATATTTACCAACATTAGTACACAGTACAATTTGTAATGTAGCAAAACATTTAAATGTTGCATTTCATAAGCAAACAACTTTAACCAGAAAAAGTATTGTGGCATAAGTTTGCATGGAAATTACTGAAATGTCTAACCATGTTTCTTTGATATTTAATCATCTAATAACTATGAACCTAATTGGTGAAATGTTTAGCTGCAATTGATGGCAATACTGGCTCAAACTGATCAGATCTACAATCTGGTATTACCAGTTAATCTAATTATTTTATGAGCATATATATTTTTACACTTTACATTTATTTAATTAAACTTTATAATACATGTTTGCTTAAATTATTCATATAGATTCTAGTATCCTTTAAAATATATATTTGTTATAATTATCTAGTGCACTAAATTGTATTTTAATATAAATATCACTTGATGTTTTATTTTTTTTTTCACTTCAAATGCCATATACTCACCTTTTGCCTAATTCCTTAGGCTTCTTTTCTCTACAAATTTAGTTGTGCCTGTGAGGGTTGAGCTTCGGCTTTTTGGTCCCACCTATCAACTGGTAATTACCCAAGTGTAGTTACAGGATGAGAGCTACACTTGTGGTGTCCCACCTTCCCAGCACTCCTTGTCATATAACGCTTTGAAATTACTGACGGTTTTGGCCTCCACCACCTTCTCACCTAACTTGTTCTAACCGTCTACCACTCTTTACAAAAGTGAATTTTCTTATATTTCTCCGGCAGCTTTGTTTCGTTAGTTTAAATCTATGACCTCTTGTTCTTGAAGTTCCGGGTCTCATGAATTCTTTCCTATCAATTTTATTGATTCCTGTTACTATTTTGTACGTAGTGATCATATCGCCTATTTTTTTTAGTTTTTGCATATTTAATGCATAATGGTGTATAGGTTCCTGAGCCTATTGGGATATATCATATCTACATTTGAAACTGTGTATGGAATCTGCCTCCACCACATTACTGCATAATGCATTCCATTTGTTAACTACCCTGACTGAAAAAATTCTTTGTAATATCTCTGTGACTGGAGAGGCTTTCTCAGCTTCTTTAATTTTCGGCCTCAAAGATTTTAAAAAAATCTTTGTAATATTTCTGTGGCTTTCTCCTGGAGAAACTGCAGCTTTCTCAGCGCCAGACGACGATCCTGACAGACCTGTGAAGCACCGCTTCATACACAACCGCATCGATGCTACCTGAGAAGAAACGTGACAACATTCTGGACTGGAACCGTGAGTATGAAGAAGATCTAAAGGAGAGCAAGAAGTAGTGGTACCTTTCTACGACTGCAGTCTGTTACCTTACCGTTGTGACACTAATACACCCTTGACCTTATTGACCCCATATTCTTTGTTAAGTATTCGAAAATCTCCACCTGGAGGCAGCAGAGGATTGATGCACTCAAGAAAACTGAACCGTCGCCCCAACAGAGCCAGCCCGCATCTACTCAACCAACAAGAACCACTACCTCGGCTACTGATTCATCAGATGAAGTTGTCTCAGTTGGAACACCATCCCCTCCTCCTCAGCGGAAGGCTCACTACTCATCTGATGACTTCCTACTGAACATCACTTTTAACGACAGCACAGCAATGTCAACGAGAAGTAAGATGGTAACGACTTCTGCTATTCCCATGGCAAAGAAGAAGTAGTAGTAAGAAGAAAACTTACCTAAGAAAGCTGGTAGTAGTAGAAAGAAGAATGAAAAATGAAGACCAAAAAAAGAATGAAGAAAGGCTAGCAACACTCACCATCGATTGCCTTCAACTACCAGTCCTGTGTCAGAGCATCCATGAGAATTCCACCCTACAGCGTCAGCTGCAAGTCATATCCACGGTGGTTGGGCCACCGATCTTTATTCTCCCCGTCTTTGACTTGTATCCAGCCCCTAGCTCTATATTTCTGCATCCTCGTCCCTACCTTCTATTCCCTGCTCTAGGGTCCTTGGAAAGGAATCTCTACGACTCATTTGGGTACTCGGTTTCCACCTCTGTCTCCTTGTTCGTGTTCCGTCACTACTAAATAGTGTGTGTACACACCCTGCCAAATTATCTCAGAATTTTGTAGGTGGCGATTATATCTCTCATAACTTCCATCTTCCAGGGATGTGAGGTTTAATTCCTGTAGCCTTTTTTGTAACTCATACCTCTGTTCTCTATACAGTACCTAGTACTGACAGCCTGACTTTTTGAATATCCCACAACACTGATGGTGCTAAAGAATTTTCCCTGGCTTAGTGACTTTTTGATAATATACTGTATAGAGTAAGTACTGTAGTTGTTTAATTATTTGTAATTTTTTTTACATCTCATCACTCTGCTTATCTTATCCACTTAATGTAAGCACTTTGTATGCTATACAAAGACTGCAATTTTAAACATTTGAACTTATTAATTTGTACTATCCAAAATCTCTTGAAATCCTTTACTGAAATATGATATTTAGTTCACAGGTTTGATGACAGAAGCTGTATTTATGTTCTCCAAGTCAGGACTGGCAGCTGGCAGAGTTCACAGTACCAAGATAACAGCTCACTGGGTGGTGCTAATACTGGTAGCAACAGTGCATGGTGTTGGCTTTGCAGCCATATACTATAACAAGGAGCTTAACAATAAGCCTCATTTTGTATCCTGGCATGGGTGTGTAGGACTTGCTGCATCTGTACTCCTGTGGGTCCAGCTGAATGCAGGAGTATTTGCTAAATATCCCAAACTCTTGAAAAGTATCATGCAAGTTAAGACTGTGAAAGCCAACCATGGACTGTTTGGTATGTTTATGTTTACAACCAGCATGGTGACAATTGTACTTGGGCTCTGTACCACATGGTTTCAAGATAATGCTTCACGGCTGGCTTTCTACTCATCACTAGGACTGCACATTTTGTTAGTGCTCATAGTTGGCAAGAAACTTTTAACCAAGTATGGTGGTATTCCTGGGTAACCTTAAAAGTATTGTTTCTGTTAAACACTGCACAATACACTGCCAAAATAATATTTCCAAGACTTACAATTTTCTTTGTTTCCTACCATTTATTTTCATAAATTCTAGGAGTTAAATTTTGTTGTGTAACTGGCCTAGAATTAGGATTATTGTACAAAGTACACTATATATGATCCTGTAATCAAGCCTTATCTGTTACAAGCATGCTTAGACAAAGATACAGTACAGTACTTATTTTTTATTATGGTATCACTAATTAGACTTCTCCTAAAATGTTTAGTAACAATGTAAATGATACTGCAATTTAGTATTTTTATAAAATGAAAATATATAACAAATATTATGCTAAATTATGTTCATAATGGGATACATGCAAGCATACAAGAAATAGAATCAAGCTACCCTTTTAGTGTTTCTTTATTGTATCATACAAGCAACATCATTTATAACATTGTTTTGGTATAATATTTCCCATTGTTAGGGACAAGAATCTGTTAGGCTCATTAAGAATCATCCTAGGCCACTTATTTACCATTCTCAAAATGCAAGCAACAACAGTTGCCTAATTTCTTGATATCTACTTACTGCTAGAGGCATTAGGCGAGAGGAAATGTGCCATAATGTATGTCCTGCCGTGGGAATCAAACCAAGCACTTTTCAGTTGTTATCTAACTGCACGAGTGCTTTTCTCCTCGAGTATATCACAAAAAGCGTTTTCGCACAAAATCAGTTCAGTAGGATAATTTAAATACTGTATAATAAACATGTAAAAAGTATTACAGTATCAAACTTTATTCAATAAAAATGTTAGTTTTTATATCACAAATGTTTTCTTTTCCAATAAGTTTTTAATATTTGAGCTATATCCACATAGTCTTATGGAGTGCTGGGGAACTGTTGTGGATAGTTGCTGGAATATGGTGATGTATAGTACATAGAATAGTAGAACACCAGAACTGTACTATGAATTATTAATAACGTGCCATTAAATATTTTATATCTCTTACCTTGTTTTAATACACTTACATGGCATGTTTTCCTAAATTACTCCCACAATTCCAGCTATTGTGAAAAATCCCTAAATTTTTCCTAAACATAAGATATGAAAGATTTTGCAAGTGTTATTATAAAGTATAACTTCATTTTGTATATAACTATTCACCAAATTCATTACTATCCTTAATCTTTCCAATTTCTACCCTGAAACGTGCTGTTTAGTTCACATATCTGATGATAAGATGCCGCATGTTATCAGTGTCTGGGCTAACATATGTCAGACTTCACAATATTGTACCAAGGTAACTGGGGCTGCTAACACCACATGCAACAGTGTATGGCCTCGTCTAAACAGCCACATACAAGGAGCTCAACAATTAACCAGTGTCCTGGAAGGACTTGTAACTGTTATCAAAATAACTTTACTGCACTCCCATCACCACTACTGAAATATTTGTCTAAAATATAATTGCTCTTTTGTGCACAAAGCAACCTAAGTGTGTGTGATTATATAGCACAGGGAAGGGATAGGAAGACAATAAAAGAACATTGCCCAACTGCTGTGACACTGCAGGTGGAATAGCAACCTTCACGAAACGAGTAAATCACCGTACCGACCAGTCCAAGAGGAACTTCATCCAAAATGTGCCTACAATGACAGCATTTGAGGAATATCTGGTTAAAAAAATGAATTGGAATGCAAATTAGAATAAATGCAAAATTCCCCCTTCTTAATTGCAGTGTCCCATGCTTCAACACCTATGGCCTGCAACCAGTTTTGAGTGCCAACTTATAAACAATCTCATTACTATTATGAGAATTCGCAGTGTTAATGGAAGAGCAAAAATACTCTACACATCTTATATTTTATATTGAAAACTGATTAAAAGTTGAGAAAAATAACTATTATAAAAAGTTTTAAAATCTAAAATTACCAAAATGAATGAGGAAACAAGATTGGTAGGAAAGGATGAAGAACCAAATGAATGTTACACTAACATCTTAGCTATGCATTGAAGCCTTAAAAGTTGCAAAGTGTAAGCTAATGAATGTACAGCATGTATGGCATCAAACTAGGACGTGAACAATATCCTTATGACAATCATAAGACATTTTATATACAAAGATACCATTAAGTAGTTTATATAAGTATTGACCTACACTGTGAACTACTCATTCTATCCCTTAAATATTCTACCAAATACAGTACTAATGTATCTAGATTTCATTAATCACACTTTACATTACTTAAAGAGGACATTCAGGTACCGTAAATTATTGAATTCATAATATTCATTCATTATGATTACCCAGTTCCCACACATAGGGGATGGGCACTATTATTATTGTTAATAATGTATTATCATTAAAAGCCACTTTATTACTCGTAACAATTATAACTGCTTACTTAAATGTGAAATAAATATAAAGATCAACAGTCTAGCAGCAACTTAAACACACAGTTTTCTCGTCTTCAAGGTACCTGAAAGACAAAAATATGTTCATTAAATTTTTATCAGACAACCTCTTTTTATCACTGGAGATAATTAAAAATTGATATGGGAAATATTATAAAAAATACAAACTCCACTGTAAAGCATATTTTTTAAAAGGTAAATTATAATGAAATATATTCAAGCAATGCCACTGTTTCCCAAGTTAAACATCTTCCCTTTCCCTTAAACCACCATTGATACAGAAACAGCCTTGCTTCTTGTAGGGTCAGTGTCCAGCTGCTGATGGTTCAAGGAGTAGTGTACCATGCCTTTGCTCTGACCCTATCATGTCTCTTCTAAGTGCTGTGCAGTTATCAGCTAACACACGTATGCTGCCCGAAACGCTTTGCGTAATAGTGGCTTTAGGCATTGTATGTACTAGCTCTTATCTATAAAGCCAACAAACTTTGTAAAATCTCTTTATGAATGTACCTTTGCCTAAATAAAAATTATTATTATTATTATTATTATCATCTTAAGGGCTTTCTCATAATTAAGTATTCTTCACCTCTTTAACTTGAGGGTTAGTTAGGTCAGGATTTAGGCCTGGGGCCAGGTATTAAACCAAGTTAGGTTACTGAACATTGTCTTTATGCCGAGTTGCCCATGTTTGCGTGCTGTATCTCCACTATGAAAATCACCAGAGAACACCGCAAGGAATTAACAGTGGAATTTGCTCCCCTTGAGCTTAGAGTGAATGAACTCAGATACCCAACCCACACAAACAAAATAAAAGTTCGTGCTGGACCACCATTAAGTTGAAAAACAGATAAGGGTGCGAGATGACCCAAAATGCAGTCACTCTTATTTCATATACGTGGATTGGATTGTGAGTGTTGAGCCACGTATTTGTGACATTCTCTACAGTGAATGAATGAATGAAAAAACTGACCATACTTAATCTGTTTGATTTACCTGGAAAAGGAATATAATTGACTGCAAGATAAAACAGGCACCAAGATGACCTAAACATGAACTTGGAGCCCCAAGAGCAATAACACTGAATAACAAGGCACAACAGTACTTACAACTTCACCTACTAAAAAATAACCCTATGAAACTTACACAGTAAGAGAGCACTTTGGACAAAAGTTTCCTCCACAGAAATGACAGGTCCGTGTACACGAGTCGCAAAGCTTGCATTCACAGTAGCCACAAGGCGGTCGTGGCAATGTTGCCACTTTATGGCAGCTGACACACGTATTAGTGGTGTTTGGTTGGGATGGCAGTTTCTGTTTAGGATATAAATATGTAGAAAATTAATTCTAAAAATATAGAGTTTATTAGTACATTCTCAAATTACAATAGAATACACAAAATTTATTACTATGTTGAATATTTGTTTTTTTTTAAATCATGTCAGTGAATAAAGTAGTACCCTTTCATATATTAACCCTTGTGTTGCTCAGGACTAATTAGCATTTGTCACCCACAGGCACATACCAAAAAAAAAAAAAAAAAAATTCTACGCTGGTTTTCTGGGGGGAACCTGTTAATTTGTGTTCTCTGATCATGGGCAAAAATACGAATATGGGCAATAGAAGGCTCGTAAGTGGCATATATTGCCCACTATAGGGCTGGGAAGTTTGGCAAAATACAGGCGCCGACTCAGCGTGCATCCCAAATGGTCTGTTGCTCCCAGCTGTTATCTTGAGGTTATCTTGAGATGATTTCGGGGCGTCTTTTTTTTAGTGTCAGGCAATGAACCACCGCGTGTACACATCGAGCGAAGGCTCCCAGTGGAAGGGCAAAAACAAACTGAATAAAATGACAGAACCCCCCACCAGGCAAAAACAAAAAGAAAAACAAAACCCCGCAAGAGGACAGCGAACCCCAAGGAACAGAGCCGGGTCCTCGACCAGCAGCCGAGTACCGAAGCCTCCAGTGCAGTAGCGACACCGGAGCCAGAGCACACGACCATCGCCTATAGCATCAGCCTCCCCAGTGTGTGACGTCACACTAGTTTGCTTGTTTTCGGTTGGGGAGTTCTATCCACTAGTTCGGTTTTAGGTAGCAATTTTAACCAGAAGCATAGAATGCTTCCAACTACACGGGGGCTTCTATAGGCCATTGCTCCCCTTGCCTCTCTGAGGGGGCCCGGCCCGTGGTCCCCGGTGACAGCTAGCATATCAGCCTGAGATAGCTCCGGGGAGCCGACGGGGCTCCCCCCAGACTAGTTTGGCAAAATACAGGCGCCGACACCCAGGTACCTATTTTACTGCTAGGTAACAGGTACCTATTTTACTGGGCGATGAAAGAAACTCTGCCCATTGTTTCTCGCCGGCACCTGGGATCGAACCCAGGACCACAGGATCACAAGTCCAGCGTGCTGTCCGCTCGGCCGACCGGCTCCAGGCAGGAGTGGCCACAAAGAGATAATTACCTAATTATTTCAATGTCTCTGATTTTTCGTAGTTTTTTTTGCTGTAATATTATTCAATAGGGTGTAGTGTGATATACTTATATAATAAAATGAGTGAATCATCGCTGTACTTAAAAATATGGTGTGCATATTGTTGATTCAATTATTATGTTCATCAAACAGTGAACAAATATTCTGTTGGTTATTACACTATATACACAGGTTATATATAAGTATCTGCATGTTTTGTTCACCATAACGAACCAGTAAGTTGGTATTATGAGCCAAAAAGCAACGAGGAGTGACCACCACACACCAGCCAGCCACTCGCTGCCACTCACTCCCTCAACACCTCACTCGCCCACATTCTCCTCCCACCATACTGTTTTTGCTTTTATTCACTATAGACAGACGTTATATATAAGTATCTACATTCGTGTTCACCATAACGAACCACTAAGTTGGCATGCTGAGTAGCAGTGGCTGCCACTCCCTCCCTCCCTCCCTCACCTCACCTGACTTGCCACCATTCTCCTCCCACCATACTGTTTTTGCTTTTATATACAGATACAGTATAAGTATCTGCATGTTTTGTTCACCATAGCGAACAACTAAGCTGGTATAGTGAGTCCAGAGTGTAAAAGGTGGTCACACAGAGTCAGCAGACAATGCTACCTCCCTCCCCACCAAGATTACTCCTCCCACTACAGCGCTAATTATCACAACAATCCTACTATTATCAGAATCCTGGTCATTTTTATCAGTCAGGGGTCTTCTGTAATAATATCATTGCTAAATAATAGCATGAACATGTATATTAGGGCATTTTTAGGCAATGCTGTGGTCACAAGCTGAACAGCAATGCTGTGAGCTCATGCTGCGTGCGTCAGGCTTGGTGGCTCACTCAATACTGAAGCCCTCACACCCGGGAATTTGGCCCACGATTTTTTTTTAAATGGCGTCTGTTTACAAGAGCCCTGATGAAGGTGAGGTGAACCCTGTGTATCCGCGGGCCGTTTGAATCTTGCGTAGTACTCCAATACATCATATGATGGGATCCGCAATTTATAGCAAGTCACTCAACCCATCATATGATGTGTTGTGCAGCTTAAGGGTTAAACTTCAATGCAGTTTGTTATATGGTAAAAACATACTTAATACTGTACTGTAATAATAATTCATTTTGTAAAAGAACAGACAGCCAGTATACATGTTAAATTTATACAGAGGTCTCCACCCAGGGTCGAACAACGAATCCTCACCAGGATGCAACTCATAAGAAGCTGTAACTCCTGGGTATCTAGGTTACCATGGACATTATGCGTTAGGAAATGCACTGAAACATTTCTGTGGCTCACAGGCCCACATATCTACCACAGCCCGGTTGGTCTGGCACTTCTTGAACAAAACAAGGAGGCACAAACAAAAACAGGTATCTAGTTTTCTCTTGAAGACGTCCATGTTGTTCTGGCAATATTTCTTATACTCGCTGGGAGTATGTTGAACCGTGGACCTCTGATGTTTATACAGTGTTCTCTGATTGTGCCTATGGCAACCCCATGCTCTTCACTGGTTCTATTTACTCTTTCTTCCATATCATTCACTTCAGTATGTTGTTATTTTTCTGTGTAGATTTGGGACCTGGCCCTCCAGTATTTTCCATGTGTATATTATTTTATCTCTCTTTTGTTTTCTTTCTAGGGAGTACATTTGGAGAGCTTCGAGACAATCCCAATAATTTAGGTGCATTATCGTGTCTATGTATGCTGTATACGTTCTCTGTATTCCCTCTATTTCAGCAATCTCTTCCTCTCTGAAGGAGAAAGTGAGTATTGAGCAGTACTCAAGACAGGACAGCACAAGTGATTTAAATAGTATATCCATTGTGATGGGATCCCTGGATTTGAAGGTTCTCGTAATACATCCAATCATTTTTCTGGTTGAAGCAATATTTGCTTGGTTAAGCTCCCTAAACATTAGGTTGTCAGACATCTTTATTACCAGATCCTTTGCATGCTGCTTTCCTACTATGGGCAGATTTGATTGTGTTTTGTACCCTGTATTTTGTTTAACTGTTAAACTGCGCATGGTGTATAAACAAGCCCTGAGTAACATGTCCCACCGTGTGCATGGCGTATGTATACATCATTGGGTGCCGGCCACGATTCAAATGGCCCGCGGCTACACGGGGTTCACATCAGCTTCCTCAGGGCTCTTGTAAACAGAAGCCATGTTTAAAAAAAATCGTGGGCAATATTCTCCGGTGTGAGAGCCACAGTACTGTGGGAGCAACCAAGGCTGACGCACGCAGCATGAGCTAACAGCATTGCTGTTCAGCTTGTGACCACAGCATCACCTAAAAATGTCAAAACAAATATGTAACTGCTATTATTTAGCGATGACAGTATTACAGATGACCCCTGACTGTGATAAAAATGACCAGGATTGTGATAATAGCAGGATTGTTGTGATAATTAGCGCTGTGTGGGAGAAGTAAATGCTGAGGGAGGGAGGGAGATAGCGTCGTTTACTGACTGTGGCCACCTGTTATTGTCTGCTTCACCATACCAGCTCAGTGGTTCTCTATTATGAACACAAATGCAGATACTTATATATATGTGTATTAGTGTAATAACAGCAAAAGGATTATGTTGGGAGGAGCCATTTGGGTGACGGAAGTGGAATCGTCTGCATGACTTGTCTAGCTATGTAGAGGGTGGCCACTATGCTCTTTAGGCATCCTACAAGCTTAGGTGTACAGTTACGGTGCATGTAGATACCTATATATATAGTGTGTGTACATAGTGTAATAACACTATAAACAGTATTGTTGGGGGGAGAAATTTTTGTGCACCTGACCTTGAATGAGTGAGGGAGGCAGCCGCCAGCTGACTGTGTGTGTAGCGACATCTCTTAGTGCCTGAACTAACTATATCAGCTTAGTTGTACAGTTGTGGGGAACAATACATGTAGATACTTATATATAATGTCTGTATATAGTGAATAAAATAAAAACTGGATGGTGGGAGGAAAATGTGGGCGAGTGAGATGATGTTGAGGGAGGGAGTGGTGGCGTGTGGCTGGCTGGTGTGTGGCGGTCACTCCTCGTTGCTTTTTGACTCAAAATACCAACTTAGTGGTTCGTTATGGTAAACAAAACATGCAGATACTTATATGTAACCTGTGTATAGAGTGTAATAACAGCAAAACTATTTGTTTATTGTTTTATGAACATAATAATTAAATCACTAATATGCACACCATGCTTTTGAGTATAGCGATGATTCACCCTTTTATTACACTGTACTGTATATGTAAATCACACGTAAATACGTATATGTAAATAACATTACACACGATTGAATAATATTACTGCAAAAAAACTAAGAAAAAATAAATCGGAGACATTGAAATAATTAGATAATAATATCTTTGTGGCAACTCCCACCTGACAGCTCGGGTGATGCTGACCAGCTCTGACGACTGCTCTGTCAACACTCACATTTTGCCAGACTTCCTCGTGCTATTGCGGTCAAAATACAGTGGTACCTCGGAATGCGATTGTCCCTGTATGCGAGATTTTCGGAAGGCGAGGTGTATTTACTCCAAAAATTTGTCTCGGAAGGCGATGGTTACTTCGGGAGTCGAGTTTGAACGCGAGTTTGTTGATACGCGTACAGCCGACCTAGCGCGTGGTCGTTCGGCGATCGTCGCCCCTCTGCCCCGCTGCCCCTCAGTTCACCATTGTCTCGCGCGCAGTGACTACCCCCACATCAATTCTTGTCGTGAATTTTCAGTGTTTTGTTGGATTTTTGGTGATTTGTCTATACAATTTGTTATTATATATCTCACCATGAGTCCCAAGAAAGC